TGGTGCTGAGACGGCAGAAGGAGGAGCCATTATTGTTTGGAAAGAAAGTCTCTTTCCAATAAAATTTCAGGAATATGAAATTCTGGTGTTTTCTTTCCTTTTTTTTTTTTCTTCTTTTGTCTTTGGCTTTTATGATTGACTTGCATCAACAGTGGGCTGCAGTTCTGGTGAGAGAGGAGCGCTGAAAGATCTGACAGCACCCTAACGCATTTACTTGGCTGGTGCGAGTTCCAAGATTATGCTGAGACTGATAATCTTTCCTATATATATATATACTTTTTTTTTTTTTTTTTTTTTAAATTGGACAGCAAAGAACATTCTATGTGATTTCCACCGGCACTGGAACAGAATAGTTATTGACCGACCTGTCTGCAGTGAAGTTGGAACCTTGAATAATGAATAACGACTGAACAAGAAAACTAAAGAGCACTAGACAATAAAAGTGAACAACACTGGACAAAAACACTAGACAAGAGCACAAGATAAGAACACTGGAAGGACACACTAAACAAGAACACTGGAGGAACACATTAAACAAGAACACTGGATGAACACACTAAACAAGAACACTGGATGACACACTAAACAAGAACACTGGAGGAACACATTAAACAAGAACACTGGATGAACACACTAAACAAGAACACTGGAGGAACACATTAAACAAGAACACTGGATGAACACACTAAACAAGAACACTGGAGGAACACACTAAACAAGAACACTGGATGAACACACTAAACAAGAACACTGGATTAAACAAGAACACACACTAAACAAGAACACTGGATGGAACACACTAAACAAGAACACTGGATGAACACACTAAACAAGAACACTGGATGAACACACTAAACAAGAACACTGGAGGAACACACTAAACAAGAACACTGGATGAACACACTAAACAAGAACACTTAAACAAGAACACTGGATGAACACACTAAACAAGAACACACTGAACACATTAAACAAGAACACTGGAGGAACACATTAAACACACTGGATTAAACAAGAAAGAACAAGAACTGGATGAACACACTAAACAAGAACACTGGAGGAACACATTAAACAAGAACACTGGGAACACATTAAACAAGAACACACTAAACAAGAACACTGGAGGAACACACTAAACAAGAACACTGGATGAACACACTAAACAAGAACACACTGGACTGGAAACACACTAAACAAGAACACTGGAGGAACACATTAAACAAGAACACTGGAGGAAACACTAAACAAGAACACTGGATGAACACACTAAACAAGAACACTGGAACACACTGAACACACTAGGAACAAGAACAAGAACACTGGACACTGGAGGAACACATTAAACAAGAACACTGGATGAACAAGAACACTGGAGGAACACATAAACAAGAACACTGGATGAACACATTAAACAAGAACACTGGAGGAACACACTAAACAAGAACACTGGATGAACACACTAAACAAGAACACTGGGATGAACACACTAAACAAGAACACTGGAGAACACACACACTAAACAAGAACACTGGAGGAACACATTAAACAAGAACACTGGATGAAACACTAAAAACAAGAACACTGGAGGAACACATTAAACAAGAACACTGGATGAACACACTAAACAAGAACAAGAACACTGGAACACTGGATGAACACATTAAACAAGAACACTAAACTAAAGAACACTGGATGAACACACTAAACAAGAACACTGGATGAACACACTAAACAAGAACACTGGAGGAACACATTAAACACACTGGATGAACACAAACAACTAAAAGAACACTGGAGGAACACACTAAACAAGAACACTGGATGAACACACTAAACAAGAACACTGGATGAACACACTAAACAAGAACACTGGATGAACACACTAAACAAGAACACTAAACAACTAAACAAGAACACTGGAGGAACACATTAAACAAGAACACTGGATGAACACACTAAACAAGAACACTGGATGAACACACTAAACAAGAACACTGGATGAACACATTAAACAAGAACACTGGAGGAACACATTAAACAAGAACACTGGATGAACACACTAAACAAGAACACTGGATGACTAAACAAGAACACACACTAAACAAAACAAGAACACTGGATGAACACACTAAACAAGAACACTGGAAGAACACACTAAACAAGAACACTGGATGAACACACTAAACAAGAACACTGGAGGAACACACTAAACAAGAACACTGGATGAACACACTAAACAAGAACACTGGAGGAACACATTAAACAAGAACACTGGATGGACACACTAAACAAGAACACTGGAAGGACACACTAAACAAGAACACTGGAGGAACACACTAAACAAGAACACTGGAAGGACACACTAAACAAGAACACTGGAAGGACACACTAAACAAGAACACACTAAACACTAAACAAGAACACTGGAGGACACACTAAAACACACTAAACAAGAACACATTAAACAAGAACACTGGATGAACACACTAAACAAGAACACTGGATGAACACACTAAACAAGAGCACTGGATGAAAAAACCCTGGAGGAACACACTAAACAAGAACACTGGATGAACACACTAAACAAGAACACTGGATGAACACACTAAACAAGAACACTGGATGAACACACTAAACAAGAACACTGGAGGAACACACTAAACAAGAACACTGGATGAACACACTAAACAAGAACACTGGATGAACACATTAAACAAGAACACTGGATGAACACACTAAACAAGAACACTGGAGGAACACACTAAACAAGAACACTGGATGAAAGAACACTGGAGGAACACACTAAACAAGAACACTGGATGAACACACTAAACAAGAACACTGGATGAACACACTAAACAAGAACACTGGATGAACACACTAAACAAGAACACTGGAGGAACACATTAAACAAGAACACTGGATGAACACACTAAACAAGAAACACACACTAAACAAGAACACTGAACACACTAAACAAGAACACTGGGATAAACAAGAACACTGGATGAACACACTAAACAAGAACACTGGAGGAACACACTAAACAAGAACACTGGATGAACACACTAAACAAGAACACTGGATGAACACACTAAACAAGAACACTGGATGAACACACTAAACAAGAACACTGGATGAACACACTAAACAAGAACACTGGATGAAAAAACCCTGGAGGAACACACTAAACAAGAACACTGGATGAACACACTAAACAAGAACACTGGATGAACACACTAAACACACTGGATGAAACAAGAACACACTGGATGAACACACTAAACAAGAACACTGGATGAAACACACTAAACAAGAACACTGGATGAACACACTAAACAAGAACACTGGAGAACACACTAAAACACACTGGATGACACACACTAAACAAGAACACTGGATGAACACACTAAACAAGAAACACTGGATGAACACACTAAACAAGAACACTGGATGAACACACTAAACAAGAACACTGGATGAACACACACTAAACAACAAGAACACTGGATGAACACACTAAACAAGAACACTGGATGAACACACTAAACAAGAACACTGGATGAACACACTAAACAATGAACACAACACTGGATGAACACACTAAACAAGAACACTGGAGGAACACACTAAACAAGAACACTGGAAGGACACACTAAACAAGAACACTGGATGAACACACTAAACAAGAACACTGGATGAACACACTAAACAAGAACACTGGATGAACACACTAAACAAGAACACTGGATGAACACACTAAACAAGAACACTAAACAAGGATGAACACACACTAAACAAGAACACTGGATGAACACACTAAACACTGGATGAACACATTAAACACACTAAACAAGAACACTGGATGAACACACTAAACAAGAACACTGGAGAACACACTAAACAAGAACACACTAAACAAGATGAACACTGGATGATGAACACACTAAACAAAACAAGAACACTGGATGGAACACACTAAACAAGAACACTGGATGAACACACTAAACAAGAACTGGATGAACACACTAAACTGGATGAACACACTAAACAAGAACACTGGATGAACACACTAAACAAGAACAAACACTTAAACAAGAACACTGGAAGGACACACTAAACAAGAACACTGGATGAACACACTAAACAAGAACACTGGATGAACACACTAAACAAGAACACTGGATGAACACACTAAACAAGAACACTGGATGAACACACTAAACAAGAACACTGGATGAACACACTAAACAAGAACACTGGATGAACACACACACTAAACACTGGAGAACACTGGAGGACACACACTAAACAAGAACACTGGATGAACACACTAAACAAAACAACTAAACACAACTAAACAAGAACACTGGGAACAAAAACACTGGATTGAACACACTAAACAAGAACACTGGATGAACACACTAAACAAGAACACACTGGAACACTGGATGAACACACTAAACAAGAACACTGGATGAACACACTAAACAAGAACACTGGAGGGACACACACTAAACAAGAACACTGGAACACACTGAACACACACACTAAACAAGAACACTGGATGAACACACTAAACAAGAACACTGGATGAACACACTAAACAAGAGCACTGGATGAAAAAACCCTGGAGGAACACACTAAACAAGAACACTGGATGAACACACTAAACAAGAGCACTGGATGAAAAAACCCTGGAGGAACACACTAAACAAGAACACTGGATGAACACACTAAACAAGAGCACTGGATGAACACACTAAACAAGAGCACTGGATGAAAAAACCCTGGAGGAACACACTAAACAAGAACACTGGATGAACACACTAAACAAGAGCACTGGAGTAACACACTAAACAAAAACATTGGATGAACACACTAGACAAGAACATTGGCTGAACACACTAAACAAGAACTTTGGAGAAACACAGTAGACAAGAACTCTTGACATGAAAAAAAAAAGAATCTTTTAAATAACAACAACACAGATGACTAACCATCTTTGGCTCGGAGCTCATAGCCATCAGGTCCCCCAAAGGGCACCTCCAACAGCTGCATGATTCTGTCCAGGAGACCATGGATGACCTCAAACTCTGAGGCTCTGTTATAGTTGACAGCACACAGCCTTCTGTCGTTCCTAGCTCCAACATCTGGACAAGGAAGACGAAGATGATGACAGAGTCAGCTATGAATCTCATGTGATAGTGAAATCAAAATAGCATATACAGTGGAACTTTCATATTCATCCACACAATGTCTTTGTGTGTGTGTGTGTGTGTGTGTTTTTTTTTTGAAATTTTGTTTGAACGTGCCTGAAAAGTCAATATTCATCTTTCTGGCGTAGCCAGTTCCAAGTGCTGAAATTAAGGAATGGCTGTCCACTGACAGGTTTTCACTGTAAAATGGCACCCAAACATAGCTATGGTTAATCAGTGTATCAATTCTTTTAATGTGTTTGGACACTTTCAGAAAAAAAATAATAAAAATATTGGATAACTTTTTAAGTAAAGACGTGCTGGTGAATCCTCTGGAAATTGTGAATTATGCAGACTTCATTCACTAGAAGTAACAATACATCTTGTTATTTTCATCTAAAAGGTAAATTTATTTTTGAAATGTTATTTATGTATCAATATAGGTCTTCAGCATATTTACGTTATCAGGACGGATAAATCTGTTACAATGAAAAAGTAATATAATAAGTACATTGGTTAATATGTAAATACATCGTATTTGCAATGATTTCCGAGATTGATTTTCGTGTGAAATTTTGTTGTTAAAAGATAGATAAACTTTGGGGCTGGGGATGAATTAAACCATTTTTAGTTAAATCTTACAAGACAAATTGGTTTGATATTCATCCTTTTTAATATTCGTCCTCCCCTCATAAAAGAATAATGAAGAATACTTGAGTTCCACCATATTTGTTTAACAATAAAATGACGAAACATTAATAAAAACATCTTATGAAAAAGAATGAACCCAAGAACTTGGTTACAACTGGCAAGGTTGATGAGCAAAGAGGAGGTAAAGACAGAAATGCCTGGATGACATATCAATGTGAAGAGGTGAGACAAGAACACTAACCTGATTTTAGGATCAAATCAAATCAGATGACAGCCTATGTATATTTGCAGGGCACACGAGGATGATGATCAGTATGATCATCATCATATTCTCTCTCTCTCACTGTGTAAGTATGTGTGTATTTATGTATGTATGTGGGTGTATGTAGGTATATGTAGCTGTGTAGGTATGTGGGTGTTTGTGTATTTATAAATGTATGCAAGTATGCATGTGTGTGTGATTGTGTGTGTGTGTGCGTGTGTGTGCGTGCGTGCGTGTGTGTGTGTGTGTGTATGTGGATATATGAAAGTATATTTAGGTTTGTAAGTATGTGTGTGTATTTATGTATGTATGTTGTAAGTATGTGTGATAGTATATGAGTGATTGTGGGTGTGTGTGTTTATAATGTATGCAAGTATGTATGTATGCATGTGTGTATGTAATATCTGTATGGGTGATTGTATATGTGTGTATGCATGCATGTGTGTGTATGTATGTAATGTGTGTGGGCATACATGTATGTATCTATGTGTGAATGTATGCATGTTGGTGGATGTATGTATGCATATTTAGCTCTGTAAGTATGCGTGTGTATGTGTGTGTATTTAGGTATGTATGTATGTGTGTAAAGATGTGAGTGTATGTATAAATGTGTGAATGTATGCATGTATATGTATGTATGCATGGATGTGAGTGTATGTATTCATGTGAGTGTAAATGTGTAATTGTGGGCATGTTGGTGTCTGTACATGTGATTGTATATGTGCGTATGCATGGATGCATGTATAGGTGTGTATGTATGGAATGTGTGTGTGCATGTATATCCATACATATTTGTGTTTGTTTTCTGTTTGTGCATTTATGTCTATGTATGTGTATGTGTTTTATGTTTGTGTATGTATGTAGATGCATGTATGAATGTATTACTTATGTCTGTATATGAGTGTGCATGTATGAGAATGTAGGAGTATGTATACGTGTGTGTAAGTTTGTACAATTGTGTACACATGATGTGTGTATGCATTATTCTATAATTTATATTTCTTTATTATATCTATAACATGCATTATTGAAAACAGGCATTAGTACTCTGAAAAATGAGTGCTTAGAAGGGCCGAATGTCAGACAGGCCTGAGTGTCCAATTTGTAACCCTTTGAAAATAAAGTTTGTTCGTTCGTTCTCTCCCTCTCACACACACACACACATACAGACACAAACACATTAAACACTTGTGTACTGTCTCTGCAGATAAAAGTTGGCTGTTGTGCAGCTACTGCTGTCCTTGGGAATATTACACGATAAGGCCCCAATCTCTTCTAAAGCACAACTCTCCAACCACTATCCAAAGGCCACTTTAAACCACATAAACCATCCTTAGCAAAAAGAAATAAACCCAGGTACACTGAGAATTGTAAAACTGGGAAACCCATTCACTAACTTCTAAGCTTAAGAACTGTGTCTCTCACACTAATACACACAGAAAAAGGTGAAGAGCTGTTAATGCAGAGACAGACATTAAAATAACAATACAAAGAGCAGAGAAAGAACTTTCAATGCACTAAGAAGCTAATGGGAAGTGGAGAAAAAAAACTGTGTCAATACTTAAATCTAACGTTGAATGAATCTGAAATACTGAGATGAAATAAAATGTTAATAAGCCACAAACATTCAAATTAACTGGTACCTGTAAAGAACAGAAGAAATTAAATGGTTGATCCACTAGAGCAATCAAGAAGAAGCAGACCATTTTTCATCTTCTGTAAAAATCTAGAGTTTACATTTTTACTTAATCCGCACCTGTGCAAGTCAGAGGTACCACAAGTTCTTATATTTCTCTATGCAAAATGTAAAATATGAAACTTAGACTGCTTCTTTAGTTCACCAGCAGCTGTAAACTCTGGGAAGTCCTGACTGTTCTTGAGGTTTGTGTGCACATCCATTTTACAGATCTGGCTGATTAGTGAGCAGACTGTTGGTTCCTTTCTTCTTTGGCAGAGGCGCTCTGACTTGAAAGAAAATGTCAATCCTACCTATGCTGACCCAGGTTCTCAGGTGGGACTCTCTTTCGAGGATGAATGTAAGGTCTTGACCAGTATGAGCCCTGATCCTCAAGCAGCACCATGTGTGGTTCAGCACTTCTCCACCCCACACATACAAAGACATGAAAAGAAAGCAACATGCTGAAACTAAAGAAAGAGCAGGAACTCACCCCTGGAAGGATCCTGGTAGACAACATCAGAGATCTCAAACAGTCTCAGAGGCAGAGGGACTCCCTTGTTGTGGAAGATGGTCTTCAATATGCCAGACAGCAGTGTTGTCCTCACCACCTGCAAAGTATGACAAGCAAAAGATGATGGAGCAGTCAAACCTCATGTACATATGCTAATACACCACCCCCCCCCCCCTTTTAGGCTTGAAACTTGGAGCTCTGTCAGTGGTAGTGTAGCTATCAGCAGCCACCCCCCCCCCACCCCTCACGCGTCAGGTCAAAGGGTAGAGAAGTAAAAAGAGGTTGGAGGGAAGTAGAAAGGTTGGTGTGGGGTCAGCATCCAGTTTTGTAAAACCTTATTTCATCAAATAACAGATATCTAAGCCTCACATTGAGACAGAGATGACCCTGGAAAGTTCAAGGATGGTGGAGAGATAAGACAATATTTATGCGTTTATAAGCCACAAGGTGTATATGTTGCACCCCACTTCTGAGAAGATAATTTTAGGAAAAATAATTTTCTTAAGATTTTCGCTGAGAGACCAAAACTCAAACCGTAGTACCTGTAAGCAGTGAAAGATGGGCAGCGTAAGAGCAAGTTCACTTAATCAATACTCATCGCGCCCAGAGGCACACAAGGCACAGACAAACTATCGCCACACAATTTGATCCCGAGTCATCCTCTCTATCTCTAGTTTTGTAGTTCGTGAAGCCTTGAGTTCAGCCTCAAAAGTTGGCCTCCAAGTGCCTCTGGATCTGCCTCTTCCTCGCTGTCCTTGCGGTGTCCATTGAGCAAGTTGTAAATTTAAGCTGCAAGTAGTGCGTTATATGCGGCGTCCGTGGCTTAGGCGTTGCGAGTCCGACTCGCAACCCAGCGTACCGCGATCGAAACCCACTGCTGGCTGCGTGGATTTTTATCAACTTGCGGGGCGTCGCAGGTTGACCCACCCTAAAATGGGTACCATAATGGGCTGTCTTGGGAAAGTAAAGACAGCCGGCGTAATGCTGAAAACAGGGGGGGGGGGGGGGGGAAGTGCGTTATATGCAAGTGAATTTAAAGCCAGTTATGGCTGGACAAGGCACTATGCAACACAAAATGACCTCATGATTCGGCAGCGGACAATAATGGTGCAGCAACTTCTTGACACCTAAAATAAGAAACTGTTCGGTTTCAAAGACATGTTCTGAAGTGACAGAAGACACACAACTATAGCATGGGGGGCAATCGGAATTGCAGATGAAACTGTTTATGAATAAATGTACAAATGGCATGTAGCAGCACCCTATTTCTAATCAACAACTTCCAGTTAAAATACTGTAGCATATGCATGCGTAAATAAGGTATACTGGCAGACCTACAAAAACACTAAGGGAAAGAAGGCCAATGAAACAGATGAATTGAAATCCTAAAGGGCTTGGAATGCTGAAGAAGAACAAGATGATACAGCAGACAATAATAATTAATATAAATGTTACAGATGAGTCCCCCCAAAAAAAATTAGTGGACAGACAAGAAAACAAACAGATTTTATTCTTATAGTCAATGCCATGTGGCACTAGTAGTCATGTCTGTCAATAACCTTCTGTCGTGCGTACTTTCAATAAATTCTGACACCAATGATCTTCTATGCTATGATGTCAAACTGTCCAACACCTTCTCTCTCAGTCTCCCTCTGCATCTTTTTCCTCCAATTTTGTCACTGCTCAGATGAAATCCCATTTTCTCTTTCTCATGCCATGACATAAGACTGTAGGCTGTCTCCTTCTGATGTGGGCAATCAGTTCTCCTTGTCAGTCAATTTCTTTCAAGACATCTTTATTACTCTTTTTATCTGTCCTGTGTGCTCTCATCAGCTGTCAATAAAACCACACCTCTGCCACATCCACATAACTTTTTCACAAACTGGCCAACTGTCCATAATTCACTTCTGTATATCAGGATAGGATTTTTAGAGCTCTTGAGAATTCAGATCTTAGCTGTAGTAACTATCCAACAAGAATTCAATACTGAATATAAGCAAGTTTTGGAGACATATAAAACTGACATCCAAATGATTATAGCGCCTCAGATAAAGAGCAGGTATACTTCTGCACAGATGGACACCAAGGCAGAAATGTTAGACAGTTTAGCATCATGGCCTTTTTCAGAAATGACAGGCAGTAAACTTCTTCATTTTCTGCATGCGTCCTTAAAAGGGCTGTTGGCTTGATGTGTTGTGGTTTACAGCTAGGCTGTAATATCTGCACACTTTGGCCCCATACATCTGGTTCCAACAAATCCTTAATCAGTCACACTTTACTTTAAGCTTGTTAACCCTGTCACTCGCGGAGCCACAAAACTGACAACTTTGGTTTCGTCCAATTACCTCTAAAAGTCACTTTACTGATTTTTCTAGTTATGTCTTTACGAGAGGCATAGTAAATGCTACTGGTTGTGTTCATCTCTGTGTAGCTTTTAGGAGATCAGGATATGAATATATTTACTAAAAATATAATTTAGGGGTTTTCTTTTTTTTTTTATCGATCACCGGCTGTGAATTCCAGTGGAAGGTCCCGGTTAATCGTCCGCTTGGACTTTTGGCTTTCACCTGGACCTGATTTTTGCGTGTACAACCGTTTTTCATTTCCCTGCCTCATGGGCAGGTGTACTCCGACTTCGAAGGAGGACGTCAGGCCTATTTCTTGGGTGACTGTGGCCATTGTTTTGTGTGGGTCGAGACGTTGCCTGATTTGTGTGGTGTCCACTTTGTCTCCTTCTCCGCAGGTATTGCCCCCGGAGTACCCCTTTGGGGCAGCCCTCTGTGGATCAGTTAGCCCTCAAGGGAAGGCAGGGGCAGATCATGGGCATTCCCCGCCATCCAAGGAGGCTTCCATGTATGCAGAGCCGGCACATGGCGCTCTGGTTCTGGGCTCACCCAAGGAATCGTCACGTCCTGCACATGCCTGCTTAACCTCACAACCGTATCAGGCCTCCCGCTCGACAGGGGCTGCGCCCTCTGGAAGTCAGCGGGGAGCAGCCCGTAGGTTTTGGACTTTTGTGACCACACAGATAGGTACATTCTTTTTTTCTTTGCACGTTAGATTTCTTTGACGAGCCGTTAGCCCGACAGAATTTTACATCCTGCGTCAGGCATATCGTTATCAGTTTTGTCCAAACACTCGGGCGAGTGGGGTCTTTGGGTGTAGGTATTTGGTCTTTTTCCGTTCAATACAAATTGTGATGGTCAGATTTTGATCCATATGATCTAGTTTTGCCGGACATTTAGGCTTAGCCATCTGATGGATGGTTGCTGTTGTAGTGTACCTCAGCGCGGTGACGACGACACTGAGGGTTAACCGAGGATGTACATGGATGGCCAGCCTATGGATGGTTGCTGTTGTGGTGTACCCCAGCACGGTGACGACGACACTGAGGGTTAACAGAGGATGTGCAGTGAACAATGTTCTCTTTACTCCGCAGTCTTTTAACCAAGGGTTGTAATTTTGGCTGCACGTTTGGCAAACCTACTCATGTTCCTAATGAGTTTTGATAACTTTTTTTTGGGGGGTGTGCTGATGAGAGCCACAAGGACACATCACCTCTGGGGGCCGCCGAACTCCGAGATCCCCTGACAGCTCTGTTGATGCTCATTTGAGACATTATCCGTGGCGCACGACGAGGACGTGCTGCAGGGGTCTTGCGTGAGGTTCCGTACAACCAGGATAGTGAAGGACTGGCGCCCGAGTGACGTACGGAGTATCTCCTTATACACATCATGTTGGACTTAACTTCCCCTCACGCCTGTGACATAAATCACCGTGCCACAGGGGTTTTCTTGAGAACCAAATTGCTTTTTTAAAACCCATTGGTGCATGACCAATTATTTTAGCAAAACTGGGGCAAAAGGATTAGGGAGCAATTTGGTCTACCCCCCCCCCCCCCTTTTCCCCCAACACAATGAGCAACACCACAATGCATGCAACTATAGATATATACCTACCTGGAACTCTGCTGTTTTAGGATTGGTGATGTGCACTGCATTCAGACTCTCAATAGTCTTGCCAAGCTTGTCGGCAATATCTGCCTTGGAACACTAAATCAGAAACAATTTGTGTAAGCAATGATTGATAAATAAGTATTCATATACCACACAGAGAAACACAGGGTTATTAGCTGGTGACACTTTATAAACTACTTTGTTAAAGTCCTGTTCTGTCTTTCAGGATCAGGTTTTGAAGAGGCCGCGGGTCTGAGTCTTGGTATGTGCTATGTAGATGCTGGTATTTACGGCCTTGGATGTGAACAAAAAAGAGCTGAATAGGAGTAGGACCATGAGGCAGACCAAGAAAACCAAGAAGATTGTGGAGAGATAATATACAGGCAAACCTATAAATGCTTAGAGACACCAAATGGACAGAGATGACAAATCACAGTGACGAATAAAGGCAGATAATATACAGGCAAACCTATAAATGCTTAGAGACACCAAATGGACAGAGATGACAAATCACAGTGACGAATAAAGGCAGATAATATCCACTGCAATGAACCCTTAGGGTTCAGAATGCTCAAGAAGAAGACTTTAAAAGAAAATAATAGTGATTAGTATGGACCTTCTTGATAGCAATCCAGACAGATCCAGATGTGTTCCAAACCTCTTCAAAAGCCTTACAAGTGTAAAATTACTGATCATGCCTGTTCTGTATGGATTCCGGTCAACATGGACGCTAGAGGGAGGCACTGTTTGGAGCCGAGGCAATATTTTTGCATCTGCAGGATGGTGGCCGATGCAGTTTTGCTCCATTTGTAGACTGGATAAAGTTTCGTCACCCAGCCTCTGAGTTGAATGCATTGCGTGACACTGTGAGCTGTGGATTTTATTGGTATGTTTTTTCGACTGTGACCAACGTGGTGGTGTGAATTGTAGATTCAGAAAACGGCGCGATGCCTGTCGTCACAATGTTGGTGGTACCCGTATGTGATTAAAATTGATCGCATGGGCAACTGCTGATCTGTTGGTGACTTCTGCTACCATCAATGATAAACTGCATTTCTAATGTCGGACTGTTTGTGTTAGCACTTTGGATAGCTACCATATGCTTTAATGCGAGTGTATGCTAGATATGCTGAAACAGCAGTCTGTCAATCTTTCCACAAGGGACTGTGATAAACATTCTGTGTGTTTTTCATTGGCACAGGAGCAGAGCAAAGATGTGGTTACCCGTTTGCTATAAAGCTAAAACTAAGACTACCAGACTACCAGTCTGTATGGATTGATCAAATTACTTGTCCCTCAGTGAAATGTTCTTGTCCGGATGCTCCATGTTCACCTACCTGTCTAACACCATAATCCTGCTTATCACCCTAATCATATTTATGATATCCATACACATGGCAATGATGAAAACATCAGAATCATCATGTGCTATTTTGAATAAATAAATTAAATAAACAAGAGGAAGGTATGCTGAATACTGACTTCAACAGGACTAAGAATGATCAAGCAAAAATTTGTCAATTTTCCAAAGAGGTAGGTGGTGTGATCCCTGGAGCAATATTTCAAGGCAGTGAGAGATTTCAATTGTGCCTTATTCGTCAAAACTTAAAATGGAGAGAAGCCAGCTTTATGGTTGCATTTTTCTGAATGAGATACTCATAAATTAGAAACACAACACACAAGTAATAAGTATAAAGAACCCCCCAAAAAAATGACACAAACGTGAGCTATAAGACAAAACTGAATGGCCTTGATTTTCCCTTACAACTCTTACCCTCCAACCTTCTCACTGTCACAATGTTCTATAGCTGTGGTTCTCAAACTTCCTAACTCGGCAACCCTTTAAAACAGTTCCACATGTTGTGGCGACCCCAACCATAAATAATTTTCATTGCTTGATAACTTCAGTGTGCAGTTTTCCGATGGTTTTTGGCAACCCCTGTGAAAGGGTCGTTCGAGCTACCGAAGGGTCGCAACCCACAGGTTAAGAACCGCTGTTCTAAAGTTTCTTTTTCTCACGTAAAGCCTATAAAACGTGGATTATCTTTTTCTGATATGAGTAACCAGCTTTTGTTGTGCATTAACTTCTTCCCAGACATCTTCATTACACTTCATATTTGTCTTGGGCATTTTTATTACTCTTCTATAAACCAAACAAAAAAATGTCAATCCAAACAAGAAGGCGAATTAGTGAGCTTCAAAATGCTACAAACATTATCATCAATCAGAAGGTCCTTTACACAGCATCACTCACGCCATGGCACACCTGAAAGTCTCTCTTTCTCTGAACATTTCTCAACCCCTACCTGATTTCATAGACAATAGATCTTCAATGTCTTGTATCCAACTTTGCGGAGGTCTGCCTCTGCCTCATTTTCCAGAGACTGTACCCTAGGACACTGCTCTCTATGAGCCAACTCTCTTCCATGCTCTCATATGACAAAATGAATATTGTGGCCTGAAAGCCTCATCAGCATATGACACAAATGGATAATGTTACAATTACAAACAAGAAGGGTTTTATGTTAAGGTCTGTCACAAAATATAAATACACAATTCATCCAGGTATCCTGAGGTGGGTGCCGCATTGGAGGGCTGAGCACATGTTGGAATATCCATTGTGCAGTGACGTTGATTGTAATAACATAACATCTATCCACCGTAGAACAGGAGGGACTCTGCCCTTCTATAAAACCCTATTTCTTCAGTTTCTGCATTTTAATAATACGTTGTGCTATTGACAAAATGGAGGCTGCAGAATTCATCTATTTGGGAACATTCTAATAGAATTTCTCACTGATCTGCTGACTATTAAAAATTTACTTTCCTACATTAAGTAAAGGACCTGAACCTACGACCTTTTGATCTGCAGGTGAGCGTCTGGCCAATACACCACGGCGACTCCCTACCATACATTAAGACTGGCCCAATATAGCTCTTAAGAAGTTGTTTACTGTACCAGATAACATAAATCATGTCTTACCAAAGCAAAAGTGAGAACTTCTGTAAATCCACAGGCAGCCACATCTCTTCTTAACAGGTCTGTCAGCTTGTTCAGGCCAAACTGGTAGCAAACACACACAAACACATTTAAAGTAAAGCTAACAATACATTTGCTCTTCCCTATTTTTCTTCTAGATTTGTAAATAATTTAAAAAAAAAACCACAAACACAACAAACAAAAAATATGTCTTTCCTGCCTGTATTTATCAATATAACATCACAGAAACTCTACAGCACCACGATGCGTCTATGGTCGAAGCAGCCAGAAGAGCACGAAGCAGGGCCTTATATCTCCCTCCACACCCGTAGTGGTAAAAGAGGAAGTAAAGAAGAAGAAGAAGATTTATCAATGTCCTTTTTTTTGTAAGGGTGATGTAAGACAAGCTGTGTATCTATCTTTGATATTAAATTATTACTAAACACTGTGGATAAGCTGTTTATCTATCCTTGGATATTACATTTTAACTAAACATTGTGGACAAGCTGGTTTATCCATTTTTGGATGTTACATGTTAACAGTATGGGCTAGCTGTTCATCCATCTTTGGATGTTACATTTAAACTAAACATTTTGGACAGGCTGTTTATCTATCTCTTAATGTTACATTTAAACTAAACATTTTGGACAGGCTGTTTATCTATCTCTTAATGTTACATTTAAACTAAACATTTTGGACAGGCTGTTTATCTATCTCTTAATGTTACATTTAAACTAAACATTTTGGACAAGCTGTTTACCCATCTCTCAATGTTACAATCAACTGAAACACTTTGGGCAAGCTGTTTATCCATCTCCTAAAGTTACATTTTAACTGAACACACCGGACAAGCTATTTATCCATCTCGTAATGTTACAATTGACTGAAACACTTTGGACAAGTTGTTTATCCATCTCTTGAGGTTCTTGATATCAAAATAACTGAAACACTTTAGACAAGCAAATCATCACTTGGTGTTACAATCAACTAAGACACTTTGGACAAACCGTTTAGCAGAAAGCCTTTCAACGAACCACCACTCTTAGCTAACAGACTTTGAACAAATTGTTCTGTCCACTTCTTGATAGTATATTCTAATAGAAATATTTTATACAACCTGTTGTCCACTTCTAAGTGTAAAACAAGAGTACAAAGAAGACTAAAGCAAACAACTCTAACAGTACTCACCTGCTCAGCGATGCAGTTTGTGTGTGGTACTGTTTTCTTGATGTTGTTGAAGCCATAGGCAATAGCTGCATCTTCCACAATATCACACGCATGGAGAATATGTGAATTTGTTAAGGCTGCAATTACTTTTGTCTTGAAAGATACCAACTCACAAACAAAACTGGTTAATCATAACAGAAGAAGACTGCACATTCTTTTGGCATGTCATAACAAGAGAACCCCAGAATATTTGACAATATCAGGACAGTAGAAGGGGAAAAGGAGGCATGAAGAGACCAAAGAGAAAGGATGCTGGACTTAAGTTTAGAATCATGGTCAAATATTAAATCATACACAATGCAGACACAGTTAGTTTAAAATAGCTCAGAAGGGGCTTTTCGTGTGATGTTAGTGGCTCAGAAACGGACCAATTATGGGGTGGTCTATCTGCAGTGAAGCTAAAACTTTGAGACTTTACTGCTACTACTAATGCTAAAACTTCAAATGTGAATAGGAAGCAACGCCTCCTTACCAAGTACACTCAACAAGATGACAGACCCCCTCCCCCCATGACCTCCCAAAATAGGACCCAAATTATCTGAATAGCAATGCACAAGATACATGTGCCAGCAATGACTGGAGGCACACAAGACAGAAGACTGTGGACAGACATGATGACCAAAACGGCATGGACTACAAGAATAAAGCTTAGGTTTGATGTTGATACATAAGAAAGCAGATTATGCTTAAATGTGCAAATAAAGTCAATAGCATTTATTGGAGGAAGGGCAGGGAATACAGGCATTCAGGTATCTAGGCGTGGGGCAAATACAGGAGTTCAAATATCTAGGAACAAATGTAATATTAGATGGTCTCAGTGTAGGTTCTAGGGTCCCCACTTTTGAAGAGAAAAAGAATATACCCACTGCTCTTGAACTCTGCCACACTGAGAAGACTAAATCTAGTCACTTCCAGTTGTGTCACAGTCGCATAAATGCCACTGAATCATCCTGTCTGCAGTGACCTATTCTCAAATAGTGTAAAGTTCCATAGGCTCTGTGTGTGACTACACAGTGTGTAGTAGGCCAGGATATATAGTAACTAACAATAGCATTAAAATAGTCTCCTTATGAAGCCATCGGCATTTCAAAAGCTAATTTGATGTCAGATTGTCCTTTAAGTTGATAAAGTTCACCAGATCACGGCATGTCACCTGATACATATTGGTTTTTAGGCCCGGGGAAATTTTTCTAGTTGCTTTATTAAATTTGTGTTTACTGATTGCCACTTTTTATATATATATATATATATATATATATATATATATATATATATATATATATATATATATATATATATATATATATATATATATATATATATATATATATATATACACAAGATGCCAACCGCCCTTTTCAAGAGCGAATAAATATTACCTGTGACATGAACATTGAGCATCAAGTCGCCGCCATCGCAGGCTAGCTGTAAACCCTAAAATCGAACAGAAAAAAGCGTAGATATTGCAGCCTAGCTATAAACCACAACAAAACGTGGCATTCACCCAGTTACCCCCCCCCCCCCCAAATTATATTACTCAGCGGGGAATCAAACCCCCATCACCCGAGTAAAATGAGAAATGCTTACAACTAACTACGCTACTAAACACACAAGGATTTAGTAGAAATGAAAGTATATAATAATAATGTGAAGTTCGGCGTTACACAGTCAAAGGTGGCCAAATGATTAAAAATAAATCAGGGCGGGCAACGAAACAAATAATGTTTTGACCATTGCTGGAGCTACATCGTTCATGATTTCTGCGATTTTATGACAAAAAGTTACGCTTTGAGTCAGAGGCAACGTTGTGAGCAAATTTAAAAGCAATCGGTTCAGTAGTTTCCGAGTTTAGAGCTAACGACACCGGAAAATTAACATTTTTATTCATATAGATATATATTGTGAAAAATAATAAACAACAATAAAATATATATAAACATACTTTAACAAATTTATTAGTGAACTGCATACAATTTTTATTTTTTAAAGGATTTTTCCATAAATTCCCAAGGGTTCCTGATTTTTTTTCTTAAGCGTTTGCGGGGCAAAAGGCAAACAGGCATGTTATAAATGGTGCCTTCGTAAGGATGTGCAGATATCGGATGTGTTGGGCAGAAAGGTATAGATACTGCAGTCTACCACAACATAACATGCCAACCACCCTTTTCAGGGTGAACACAGAAAAAGATAACAGATAGAAGATCCACGACATGAAAATCAAAAGTGTAGCTTCCACCATATAAACATAATAATATCCTGCTCTCGTGGTAGCAAAAACTGCCATGTTCAAGCTGGTCTAACCAGCTCCTTATGGACCCCATACTAGGAGTCACATGACAGTGTAGTGCATGCACTTTGACAATGATGAGCAAGTGAGCACACAAAACAACAATCATCTACTAAAGGATATCAGCTCTTGTGGGTGGCACCTCAACGCTGAGGCTGTTCCCGTCAGCTAGAACCTCACACCCCAAGGACATCTTTGTCAGCAAGCTAGCAATTTCTGGGGGAGAGATTCTGCGGAGAAAAAGTGTGACAAGTACTGTAAAACATAGATACATGTTGCAATTATACACTTTACTGAGGTCAATATACTGTGGGAGAGGTTTTGAGGAGAGTTTAAAGTATGACAGACACTGTAAAACGGAGATACATGCTAAAATGTTACACTGTATTGAGATCAATGAACTGTGGGAGAGATTCTGAAGGGAAGACAAAAGGTGACCAAAACTGTAAAACAGAGATGCATGCATAAGTTATACATTTTACTGATAACACTGTGGTGCAATGGTGAAGTGGATGGTGTACTCATTTTCCAGCAGTGGTTAGAATTCAAACTTGAGCTATAAAAAGACATTTATCCCAACTTAACACAGCACTGGGCATGATCCTAGCCATAAAATGAACATCAGATTTCATTCTGCTGAAAAACTGACGAGGAAGAGAGATAACCACCCCATCTCACATCATGACCTAGTTTCAGTGAAGACCCACTCTTCACACCACACATCATGTCCTGGTGTCAATAAAGACATACTCTTTACACCACAGATCATGACCTGGTGTCAATGAAGACCTACTCTTTACACCACAGATCATGACCTGGTGTCAATGAAGACCTACTCTTTACACCACAGATCATGACCTGGTGTCAATGAAGACCTACTCTTTACACCACAGATCATGACCTGGTGTCAATGAAGACCTACTCTTTACACCACAGATCATGACCTGGTGTCAATGAAGACCTACTCTTTACACAACACACCATCACATGGTATCAATGAAGACCTTCTCTTTACACAACACATCATGACCTGGTATCAACCAAAGACCTACTCTTTACATCATACACCATAACCTTGATCAGTGAAGACCTACTCTTTACACCCTACATTATGACCTATAGTGTCAGTAAAGACCATTTCTTTACACCCTACATCATGACCTACAGTGTCAGTAAAGACCTACTCTTAACGCACCACACCCTGATCTTAGTTACAGTTAAGTCCTTCTCTTCACACCCCACATCATAACCTAGCATCAGTGAAGACCTACTCTTTACACTCTACACATCATGACCTCTAGTGTCAGTGAAGACCTACTCTTTACACTCCACACCATGACCTCTAGTGTCAGTGAAGATCTACTCTTTACACTCCACACCATGACCTCTAGTGTCAGTGAAGACCTACTTTTTACACTCCACACCATGACCTCTAGTGTCAGTGAAGACCTACTTTTTACACTCCACACCATGACCTCTAATGTCAGAAAAGACCTACTCTTTACATGCCATTTATATTAATTTACTACCTGTATTTTTCCCTACCTGCACACAGACATCAGTTTGCTGTCATATAGGTTAGTTGCGTATCCTTTACAGGACATTGCAGAACCAACCCCCAACAGCCCCTGGCTGCTGTGTGGTTTTTTTAGGCAAATGTATGTCCAGTAGTTAGTTTCCTGTCAAATACTGTTTATTATTATAAAAACAGATATATGCAAAATAGAACTACCAGCAATTTGCTTGTAAAACATTCTGAGCAAACTTAAAGGAAGCAGTGAGAAAAATTAAATTTGGGAGAAGTTAGATGGACAGAGGTCAGAGAGTGAAAGCAGCCAATAAACCAACCACTAACCAACAGCCAACTACAAACTGATTCAATCAACCACCAATCCCTGAATCAACCAACCATCAAAGAATGGTCAACCGCCCAAGACCTGATCGATAAAATAAGATTTCCTTTGATAAGATCACAAGCAGTGACAAAGAACACACCACTTAAAGTTATGTCATAGGGTACAATGAGAGATAAACTGACACAGCATAAATATTTGTGACTTACTCTGCTCCAACCAGCCTACAGATAAGATCTGCGCTGACTGTTTCTTTTCTGTATGACAGCTCCTAAAACAGCAGACATATTTTCATACATAAGGCTAAACATTTTTAAAGCCCAAGACGTAACATGAGCAAACTACAACCCTTTCACCTCACTGACTCAAAGAAAAAAGAAAAACCAAGCTCCCATAGTTTCCCTTTTTCTGAAATTCCTGATAATAAAAACATCAGTAGAAAAACAATTTTACACACACAAAGCAGCACATTCGGAAAGCAGCCAACATGGTGCCAACAGGAAATGTTGGTTTGCGGCTTCTCTGGGAGGAAAGTTTTTAGGTGAAAATCCTGGGAACATGCATCTTTGCAGTGGCAGCATACTGATGTGAGTCATGGACTATTTTGCAATCATGAACTCTTTGAGCATAAAGGAACACATCATACTTTAATTTATAACTAATTTTACAATACCTGATACTGAGTTTAAAGTAATGATGCTTGGTATCCACTCATGCTACATATGTCCATTTTGAACATTTCGCAATACTGAGAATCAGACATGATGACCACTCTGGTAAATCTATTTTCAGCTATCCACTTCAGTTCTGCAGTGACTGCCTCCAACTCCACCCTCATGCCTGAATATGTAGATTAAAAAAGCAACATTCTGCTCTTCCATTTCCTTTGACTTCCTTCTAACTGAGAATCCCCAACCAGATCTTTTACTCTGATGAACAGAACCATGAGTGTACACTATGGTGTCATATATCCTTGTATTTTCATCTATCAGTTGTTGTACCTCCAATTCTGCCACACCATTACAGGTCCTGGATACTGATGTACTGGACAGAGCTGGTATTCCCGGCATCAATGCCATCCTGATGCAGATTGAAAAGGCAGGTAACCTAAACCACTTGCCAGAACATTAGCCTTTCAATATAAACCCTGACATTTGGAAGGCTGTGGAAAAAAAGTGGACTATGGGGCAAATGTCTCTCCAAAGAGGCGCAGCAACTAGTGAGGCATCTAGAAAAAAGGGAAGCAGCTGAATACTGAAGACAGCTAGAAAGATCTGTAAAACAGGCCCTTTATCTACAGACACTGCTCCCTGCTCTCTTTGTCCTGTACTGGGCTTATAAGTCACCTCCAGACTCAGAGACAATCGTCTATAGTTTCATGAAGGATCAAAGAAAGAGTAGTCAGCATTTGTGATGGATGAACAACAACCCAGCATGTTAAACTGAGGTTCCCTCAGGGACCATCTGGATAATACATGTGTCCTCATGAAGGCCACATACGATAACAAATTGAAGTCATTCAATAACAATTGCAGAATATTTAGTGCAGGCCGCAGGTGTGCTTGCAAAGGACCTAAGGTGGCAACGGGCCATCTGACATGTCTGCCGCACACCAATCTCTACATTCCTTTCCTAATGTGATGATGACACAGTGAAAGCTGATGCTGTATGTGTTCCTGTCAGCCCATTCTGGCCCTCTATGTATGCCACCAGCCCAATGGTATGTTCTGCTAGTGCCATTCATGACTTTTCTCTCTTTAAACTGCTTCCCTGCAATCATTCAGACTTTCCTCTCTTTAAACTGCTTCCCTGCAATCATTCAGGCTTTCCTGCAGGGGATGTCTTTCATCACTAGTGACTCACATGTAGGCCCTGGCTTGTGCTAGTGCCAGTTCAGACTTTCCTCTCTTGAAACAGCTTCCCTTCAATCATTCAGATTTTCCTGCAGGGGATGTCTTTCATCACCAGTGACTCACATGTAGGCCCTGGCTTGTGACAGTACTAGTCCAGACTTTACCTATGTCAGCACAAGCAAACATCTCATCAGTACAATATCTCCTGTCAGCAAAACATTGTTTGGGGAAAAGAACAAATAAAAAAAATAAGGAAAGGAAGGAAGAAATGGGGGAGGAAGCAAGAGTAAGGAGAGATCAGAAGGAAGGAAGGAGGGAGGGAGGGAGGAAGGAAGGAAGGAAAAATGCAAACTTGCACCTACTGGATACACCAACACTGTTCCATCAGGCTGTACCACTTCAGCTGCTTCAACTCTATTGACAAAAAAGATTTGCTTTCTGTTATTTTTTAACAAGTCATTTAAATAGGACACGTGAGATAAATTAAGCTTTTTTTTTCTAGGTTCCCCACTTACAACTCTGGTTTGGACTTTGTGCTGTGAATTTTTTTGTCACTGTGACATGATTGTGATGTCAATTTGCTCCAAATGATTATGTCTGCGAAAACTGAGTTTTCCTGGTCAAAGCAAAGCAAAGCAGTTAATTACCTGCTCCGTTAGTGTTTAGTGATTACTTCCATTTATGTAAAAAGTACCTTCACATAAAAAGTGACTTACACAAATAAAAATCTGGATGTTTAATGACTTGATAACCTTAATGTGGCAGTGACCATCATGCTTGCTTGTCTACTCGGTGGTCATAGGTTTCATATTTCTTCTGCTTTTTGTTTCTATTCCTCTAGTTTCTTAAGGTTTCTAATGTTTCAGAGAACTATACTACTCGTCAAAAGTCGAGGCCACAGGTGGTAATGCCATCCTCCCAGATGATAATGCTTGACCCCATGGAGCGTGTGTGGTGAATGACGTTATACAGCAACACTGGATCATCAGGATGGCATGGCCAGCTCATTCACCTGACCTCTGGGATTCCTTGGTGCAGGACTGTCAACAAATTCCCCCCCCCCCCCCCCTGATTGCTGCACAGCAGACTGCATTTCTATTTCAGGAATGGCCAGCTGTTCCTCAAGATACTCTTCAGACCCTTGTGGGCTCAATGTGTCTCTGCGGTCTTGAAGGCTTTGCTGCAGACAGTGGTCATATACGATTGTGAAATGTCTAGTTGTCCAATATCTACTGTGTGACTTCTGAAAAAAGTAGGTGGCACACTTTATAGCCTCGTTGCATTTGAATGTGTGTTTCCATTTCTTTACGTGATATGCCAGTATGCTATTCAATAAATGCTGTTTTCACTGAAATCACTGACATTCATATCAGATTTGTTTTATGGCTTTCAACCAAGGTTCTTTTGAGAGACCCTTGACTTTTGACAAGTAGTATATAACCATGTGTTTCTTTTTAAAACTTTGTTGGTCTTTTTACGATTCTTACAGGGCGAAAAGTTTAAGTGTGTATCCAGCAAAGAAAGGACGTAAGAGAGGAAGAGCAGGACTTGTGTACAACCAGTGTACTACTAGATCAGTCAGCATTTGCACCTTAAAGTAAAGCCTGATGAAACACAACTGTTGCTTAGGTGAGTGCTTCCTCACAAGAAACAAAGAACCCCAAAAAGAATATCAAGTAAATACACAAAGAAACTGCTGCTTGCATGAGCATTTGCTCACAAGAAATGAAGAAAGGAAAAGGAATATCAAGTAAATAAACAAAGAAACTGCTGCTTGTGTGAAGATGGAAACAAGAATATCAAGCAAATAAACAGACACAACAAAACTGCTGCTTACGTGAATGACTGTTCACAATAAACGGAGAACATGGAGACAAGAATATCAAGGACGATCTTGGCTTTAGTCAGATCTGTGGCTGTGGCTTCAATAAAGACATTATGTGTGTCCAGGGTGATTTTGGTGTGGTCACCTGCAGAAATACAACAGCAAGCTTTTCTGACCAGTACAAATAATGTACATGCAATTATAAATCTTAGCTGGCACATTGCAATGCCACTGCTTTGGCATGTAGTCTAAATTGTGATCTTGTGACATTCTTCTTCTTTTTCTTCTTCACGTTCGCCAGTTGTAAGCTCTGACGAAAGTTCTAGTTGTTTGTCCACTTCTGGACTTTTAGTCTTGTTCCATACCTTGAGTTTTGTGTGCACATCCAGTTTACAAATCTGGCTTATTCATATGCATACTGTTGGTTCCTTGCTTTTCAGGCAGAGGCTCTCCAACTTCAAAGTAAACCCTAACTAGTGGACTCATATGACATGCTTGTTAGGGAAGCAGTGAGTCTATTCCTTTTTTTTGCAACCCACAATGGGGCCCCAAAACCCACATGAAGAGGACCCCAACTAATGACTAAATACTTAGAGTATCAACTTCACTGCATTTTTGGTTTTCCTTATGGCTCAGTCTCTCTTTCCAGAACAGCAACCGCTGCCGAGATCCCTGCATAAAGTTCAAACTCCATAGGTTCAGCAACAGACCCCAAGTATCTACATTAAAAACTGCACTTGTCAACTGAACAATGCATACATAAAACAAACCCATGACCTTCAGAGTGTGAGACAATAATTGTTTTCTTTATAAAATATTAAATTTAAAAAAAAAACAGCAATAAAAATTGTAAAATGTATATTCCAACTACAAATTTTAAAATACAGAAAAATACCCACTATGAAACATTATTTTAATCCCAGAGGGGTAAAGAAGCAGATGTCTTATAAAGCAAATAATCACTATGAAAAGTGGACAAGCACATTACTTTCAAAGAGGCTAAATATACAAAATGGCCCATCTGAGATGCCAGATTTCTTGAGAATAGTCTGACAAACTGTTATTGAAAAAAAGTATAAAAACACAGGTCAGATTCACAGAAAAGAGTCACTTACTTATAATGCAAATCTGAGTTGAAGAGTTAAAGAAAATAGCCATGTGAGCAAACATTCACACAAACAGCAGTTTCGTTGTGTCTTACCTTGATATTCATTTTTTTTCTTTCATTTTTTGTGAGCAAACATTCACACAAACAGCATTATTTGTGTTTTTTTGGGCCATGTGATACATGTTGACAATAAAGACCAGTGTTGAGTTTTGGGGTTCCAATTTGTCGTTTAAAAAAATAAAGGGCTGTGTCACGCTAACAAGCAGTTTGACAAGGCAACTAATCAGGCGCTTGTTCATATCGGATGCGCTGGACCAAAAGAGGGGCTACGTGGTCTCAAGGCATGGCGTCCGCCTCGAGTGCTTGAGGTCCCGTGTTCAAGCCCCCGGTGAAGGCTAGAATATTTTCATGTGGACTTTTAGTAATTTCCCCTGGTCTCTGGGTAGTAAGACTGGATGCCTGAGAGTACTGTTCCGCACATTAAAAAAAATTGCTTGGCAGTTGGAAATCGAAAAGAGTAGCCTAACGAAACTGCACAGGCACAAATTTGGAGTTAAAAAATCTACCCAAAGTATTAAAGGATCCTTGCTGGAGCTATAGAGTTTGTGTACTGCGCTGAACTCGTGCTTGAGTCAGAAGTAGAACAGAGAACCTACAAGTTACTATCCTTGTGACATGATGATGATCCAACGTCTTAACCTAAACCTAGGCCAAAAGAAATATACAGCCTAGAAGAAAAAACACAACATAAAATGGCTACAGCTATTTCAAGAGCAAACATAGAGTTACAATAGAGAGAGAAAGATCTACAAATCAAAAACAACACATAACAACATAAACAACTGACATAAAACAAGGCATACCATTCACGACTGGAGGTAAAGACAACACCACCCGATTTTTGTCATAGATGACAGGGTACACAGGCTTGTCTTTGATGATCTGGAGGTATGGCTTCAGATGACTATCTCCCTGAGGAATAACAGTACTGGGTATTAAACTATCAACAGCCAAATTCACTCCTGTAACAGACATCCAATGTCACAAGCTTATCTGTTAGGTAACAGATAAGAGAAATTCTGTTCCCATATTAATACAGCATACTTGAAATTATGGGACAAAGTTAATTTCTTCATGAGAAAACAACTGCAGCCAGAACTGTAGTCAATCATAAATGGAAGTAGCAATCACTACAAACCAGCAGTTGCACATTCCACATTCACTGCTGCATAAGGCATACCACCAGTTCTGTGGCATTTGGTCACCTGAGATTTCTGAATATGGTTAATAACACAAACCGCCACAGGTGCAGCCATTTTGGAATAATAAAAATACCCGGATGAAGCCCTGTTTGAAAACGATCTCTTTGCAGACTATATATGACAAATTCATTGATTGTTGAAGTTGGTCACCAGGGGATATGACGGGAAATTTGACGATCGTCAAAGATGGTCAGCAAAGTGTTAATGGGTTCCTTCAACTCTTGCCTTACTGTCAGGGGTCGTGTTAGCGCAGTTGATAGGAGACTCGCTTTCAAATGCAGCTGCGACTCGCTGCAGCCCATGGCCGGTGTTCGAAATTGAACGGTTCCCGGGGTTCACCCAGCCTCTATGAAATTGGTACCAGAGTTAATACTCTAGGGTAAATGGAGGAACGTTGCTGTAGCTATGGAGTTTTCTGGGGAATGGCCACACAGGCGGAGAGTTTCTTATCTGCTGTCCACATTGGTGGCACAGCACTTATGGTTTATATCCGTGTGCAATGACGCTGGTTCAAATCTCCTGACTTTTACCTTTTTTGTCTTACTGTGCTGTGTGAAATCTTTAAATGAAAAAAGTTAATTTGATTTGTAACAAGTTACAGTCACACCTGACTCGGACTGAACAAGTTAAAGTTATGATTAATAACCCAACTTTTCGAGGAAAGTTAGAAGCAGGCACCAGGCTTCTAAATAATTCCTATTGACGACTAGAGAAACAGGTCACTAAACATACTCCACTATGGGTGGTAAACGCAATGCAAAACACTAACAACAACGAATAAGGTCACTGGTGTCATATTTTGAATACTGAACATATTGCAACAAATGATGATGCCTTTGGAATTATTTACACTTCGGCTAACCTTAGTTTATTGAGATTTGTGGAAGTGGCCGTTATAAACCAGTTTAGTCCAGAATTATGCAGACAAAAGGACATGCTCTTCACCTTGCGTTTACCCTGGTAAAACAGTTTTTGAATGTAGCTGATTGTGTTTCAGTTCAAAGGATTCTTTTGCTTCATTTTAATCAATTATTACTGTAGTATGCACCTGACAAGATATAGTGAAATATGCCAGGTAATATATTATGCAGTCTATTGTTTCCGTCTTCTTTGTTCAAATTCACAATGGGGAAACATTGCTATGAATGCCAATTGTGTTGGTCAATGAGTACACTAACCCCTATGCCACCCAGGCTCCTCTTTAACCATTCAAACTACAACAACAAACAAGGAAAATGCTGGTCAACTCACAGAATACAGATCCATCAACTCTACAGCTGTGTACTCCTGGGTCTGATTCAGGGGTCTGAATTTGATGTCTGCTGGAGGCAGAGCTTCATAGCTGAATGGACCTTCTACTGTGTCAAGGTCATGGGTTCCAATAGCAACTAAAGTTCTCCGCCTGAAAATAAAAATGAGAAATATATAAAAAAAACTTTTTAAACTAAATAAATGTTCTACCTCGTTGCACTTGTTGCTGTTTTAAACCTATTGCCGGCATGCTAGGCCTGTCGCAACTTCACCAGAGCCCCGTTGGCTAACACATTTTGGGGTGACCTAAGATGGCCTTCATGGCTACCGTAGCGGTCTCAAGGCACAAGGCTACACCATAATTTTCCCAATCCTAGCAACCCTCTACTTTATCCTGTTACCAACTCTCACAAAGTAGACCCAAAACAAGATGGTCACATCACATCAGAGAGACTCTACAGCACCCTGATGTGTTTATGTTCGAAGCAGCCAGAAGAGCCCAAAGCATGACCTTATATCTTCCTCGACACCCGTAGTGGTAACAGAGGAAGCAAAGAAGAAGAAGAATGTTCTACTCAGAATTTAACTAACAGCATCAGTAATTTTCTTCTTCTCAAGATTCACTGGCTATTAACTCTGACAGAAAGTTTTGGCTGCTCATCCATTCCTGGATTTTAGTCTTGATTCAGTAATTGAGTTTTGTGTGCACATCTGTTTTGCAGATCTGGCTTATCTGCCAGATGGTTGGTTTCTCACCTCTCAAGCAGATGCACTGTGACTCTGAAGGAAAAACTCCTAATTAGTCACCTCCTGTGACATGCTTGTGGGTCTATTCTGCTCTAAAAATGAAGCCCTTGAATCCACATGGGGAAGCACCAGTAATGTCATTAATGAATTGGTTTATTTTAAAGAGGTTTCTAAGGCAAAGTGTCAAATATTTGTCTTGTGCTCTGAAGATTGTAGCTGTAGCTAGAGTTTGTGCTTTGTGTGATACTTGCAGTAGGCAAAGAGAAAGCCAGCTGAATAGGATAAAACATGGTTCAATGAAAACTGACCCTTCCATCTGTAATCAATAATTATAACAACTTTCTGGCAGTCTCTGAGACAGATAAAATGGGACCCACTCTATAACTCAAATAGGATTTGTGACCCACTCGGAAACAGATAAAATGGGACCCACTCTATAAATCAGATAGGATTTGTGACCCACTCTCGGACAGACAGATAACAATGTAAACCATTATGGGAATGACAGATAACAATGTGACAAACTCTGAACACTTGAGTTTTGCGTGTTTTTGCATTCTGACTTTGAAGGAAACACCCCTAATTAGTTAACTTTTAGGACATGCTTGTTGGAGGACAGTAGGTCACGCATCCCCCCACCCTTTAACAAATGGGGACCTGGAACCCTCATGGGGAGGCTGTAAGTCCAAACACAATAGGCCAGCTGCCATTTACTGGGGCATGCAGAAGACTGGCAAAGACAAGCAAAGAACTACTACAGTGTTACGTTACCACAAATTACCTGCAGAGGTTTTGATGCAGCTTGTCCTGCAGATCAATGAAACTGGCGTAGCGCTGCTGTAAGATGGAATCAACGGTATAAAGAACAGTTATCAAACTAATAGAACATTCACAGTATGTAAACAGCTATTTTGCGGAAAAATTGTGCTCTTTACAAACTGAACCCTTTCATCCCCAGGAGGCTACATCTGATCATTTCTGGTTGTGACCCCCCACCCACCGTAAATGCAGATATATGGCCATTCCTACAGTGACCTGCGGTTGAGAAATGTAAATTCTACTGGTACTTTGTGCACCTGTGTAGTGTTAAAGAGGCCCTGATGTCGATGTAATAACTAAAAATAGCATGGGGGGAGAGATTTTTTTTCCTTGAGTCACCCCAATACATGCTGTTTTTAGGCCCCAAAGGGAAAATTATTAGATTTAATGCTTCCCTCCAGTCATATTTATTGACTGTATATACACTTTTTAAATACCATACATTATTTTTTTTTTTAAATTGAAAATAAAGATGAATAAATTGTTTATTACTGACCTGTGTAAAATTGTTTTGTTTTTTTTTTACAGAATTTTTATTCCTGGAATTCTTTTGGGTTCATGACCCATTTTTGTTTTTTATCATTTTCTGGACAAAAAGGTTAGGGACACAGAAGGTCAATTTAAACTAGAGTTTATACTTTTGGGAGCTGCTGTAGCACAGTGGCTATATGCTTGCCTGTCAGCCTGAAGGTTATGGGCTCTAATTCACTTCTAGTAAGAGTCATGTCAGAGTACATCTGCCTGAGAGTTGGGGAACCAACAGTCTACAACAGATCTGTAAACGGATGTGCATGCAAAACTCATAATAAGTTCTGAAACAAGACTTAAGTCCAGAACTTTCATACACAGTTTACAAATGGTAAACGTGAAGAAGAAGAACTAAACTGACCAGAAATAAAACGTTTTCTGTATACCTACCGGATTAAACTTGATATTTCTCAACACAGCAGCAACACAATGTGGTCGAACTTGCCCTGTCTGAGAAATAAATCAAGAATGTTAAGCTAAAATAGTTCCATAAAAGGAATGAAAAATGAATATGTATAATGATAAAACAAGAAAGTTGTGTAAATTTTTAATCCTAAACATTATCTTCTTCAGCCCTTATTCATCTTTATTTTGTCTGAGAAAAAAAGGGGGAGATGACTGTGACTAACAAGAAATCATTATTTACTGCCTACAGTACCATTATTACAAAATATAACATAGCACTTGACCCGTTAGGGTCCTGGAGGTGTACTGAAGAAAGCACTAGCACATAAAACCTGCCATCTTTCTCTGTCTTCCGCTTGATGAAAAAGTTTATGTTAATTTAGTCTTGTCCAATTCTTGATAATGTCATTCCAGTTTCTTTTTACCCTTTTCTTCACCTACCCCTAGTTACTTGAAGCACAGTCTTTGCAATCAAATCATGTCTCACCTAGTGCCCAAACCAAGTTAGATTGTGACATTTCACCACTGCCAAGAAAGGCTCTTGACGTCCTGCAAATTTGTATATTTTGTCTCTGGCATATTTAAGTTTTAAGTTTTGTGTTCTAAACAACTCATTCATAAAATGCGGCTATAGCATTTACATTCAAAAGCCTGAATCCTCCTTTCCATTTCCACCCATTATTAGGGTAGTTTAGATCAGGCAGAGAGGCCTTGAGCCTGAGGTTCTATGGCTGCATGGCTAGTGCAGTCACCATGAACTGTGTAGGTCAGGTTGTTTATTTTTGCCCTAGACACCCAAACAAAAATTGCCATCAACCTAATGAGGATTTGAACTAGGGTCTCCCGTATCAGAGACCAGGATTCTAACTATCAGTGAGCTGCACTATACTACAGAATATTATTATCAAATAACGGTTACCATACTCAATGCATGAACAAAAAAAGTTCCATACATCTGCACTAGCTAACAAAAACTTACAGAAGCCTGTATGACCAGCCGTTGTATTTTCCCCTGTGGTGGGTGAACAGCCTTATACCGAGGGGTCTTGTCTCTGCAATACAAACAAAACTTCAATATATCTCAGATGCACAACTTACAATCATAGTTGCACTATATGTAAACAATCATTTTTCCTCTGTGGATTTAAATGCCTCTATGTTTGGCGAGCATGTGGGGTGGGGGAGGAGGGGAAGAGAAGTCCCACTGGCGCCTAACAAGCATGTTATGAAAGGCAACAAAACATGCTAACCACCAAGAGACAGACAATGAAAGAAGAGGAAAAAAAGAAAAAAACAATCATTGTCTGAGTCAAATTTTCAGAAGTGGCAAGATTTTTCAGACCAGAGTGGTTCTGTCTATGGTGCAGCATCATTTTCATGGCTACTAATCTCACACATTTTCTGGCAAGAACAATTGTGGGAATGAAACTAGGCACCCCACCTCATATTTTGGCCTTCAATATGCAAAGACCTTACAGTTTACATTCCAAGAGCAATACCTGTATGTCATGATCGTAAAAGACTCACAAAGCATGACAAGAAAGGTGAACTTAGGTATACTCCATGCAGAATGACAAGCAACACTCCAGAGGTCTCAATGATCTCCCCAGGGCAAGCAGGTGTGTTGGAAATGAACAGGCAGACAGAATGACTGATCCTCTATCACTCAGTGGTAAACTGATGCATGAAAAGCCAGATGTGATCAAGGTCTTTTATGAGCAAAGGAACAGAGCACAGGCACAACCAGATCAACATTTAATGGAAGAAAGATGTAGGGGGAGTGGCTATAATGTTACTGGCTCACAGTCTATGCTCCAACAGGAGATAGAAGGCAGAATAAGAAAAAGAATTAGAAGGAGAAGACTTATGAACAAACATGACTTACATTTCCAAGAAAATCCGTAGACCTCTGACAAGTCCTTCAATACACAGGAGGTCATACCTGTTTGTATAAAAATAAAAGAAGTATTATTCTTTTCTAATAATTTCTTATTCATCTTGACATTTTATCCACATTTTCACTGCATTTATAACTCCTGTCTACCAACTACCCTTTTAGCATTACAAGCTGGTATTTTGCCATTGTACCCAATCATCTCGGATGAAACAAATAGATTCACCTATTGGCTAGTATTGAAATTATGACCTATGTCGTTTCAAATGGAACAGACTCAACTATTGGCTGAGGTTTGATCTCTGACTGAACAAACAAGACTTACCTATTGGCTGGTATATCAATCTTGTATTCTATCGCCTCTGATGCACCCACAGCTTTACCAACACCCTTCTCCCTTTCAATCTGCTCCTTTTCCGAAGTCTGAAAAACACAAAGCATAAAGCTGTTGGCTTACTTTGTCGAAGCTGCTTGAAAATTAAGAACTGTTAGTTTGTGACACTAACCTTGTCTTTGCACTCAGAGCATTCTACTGAGCTAATGCAATTGTTATTAGAAGCTGCTGAGACTGGGAATGAAAAAGTTTCTTTAAAAAAAAAAAGTGCAGTTGCCGAGAAAATACACAATGAAAAAATAAAATACTTTGTCTCCCTGTCGGTTCCAGACCCTTTTCCTCAGTGATATTCTAAAAAGAAACTAATTACAAGTGTTTATTTCAAAGCTGAATTGCATCACTTGAGACGGGAGGAACAACAACCTGTTTATAGGTAAACCAGATATGTCAAGCGGACGTGCCCACATGTGTGTTCTGGAACAAGACAATATGCAGACGTGGACAAACAATCAGAACTTGCCACTGGAGTTTACAGTCTGTGAAAGCTAACAAGGAAAAAGAAATACCACAGCCATAAAAAATTTCATAACACTCTGTTAAAACCATGAGATTCCCAGTCGCAATTTTTGCTCATTCGTTCTATGATGTTAACTCAATAGCGATCATCCTTATTTTTTTTTTTTTTAATGTAGTCCACAACGGGAAGGACTTTTAATAATTGAACTTCCACATCAACCCAGTATAAAATCATCATGATTATCATAGTTGTGCCCATTATATGTCTCACAGGACTTGGAGTCTATTCCTCCCTTCCGTTCTATCATGTACAATCAGTTTAGTATCATGGATAGAATCCAGTCTAGTCCGTTTAGCCTATTTCATCGTTCATTTTAGGATTTTTTTCAGACATCCTTGCTCCTCAATCCTTTTGTTTCCCATGTGAGTGCTTGCCGGGAGATTCTCTGCTTGTTTATTCTCGAGGCTTGTCCAATACAGCGCCATTTATGTTTTCTTATAAATGCTGTTATTAGTGGTTGCCCACATATTGCTCTTATTCCAGGCAGTTGCCAACAAATGTTCTGTGATTAACAGCAGCCAACCGAGGTTGCCTGACTCATCTAGTGTCAGCTGTTCTATAAAGAAATAGGTCTAGCACCATATGCCAGATGTGACAATGGTGTGATTAGGGAATGTTACTGTTCAACTTTAGAGTGAATTTTATATATACTGTCAAAGACTCACCACTTCATCCAGCTCCAGACCATACTGAAAGCACAGCTCATCAAATTCTTCGTCAGCTGCAAGACAAGGGCAACATTAACTCCTAAAAGACTTGAAGGTTTGGAGAAAGACTATTCTCTCACAGCTGACATTTATTTTAAAGGGTTTTATCATTTTAATGGCTTTCAAAACTATACTGAAAGTGGATAGATAAAATAAACTTAAAAAGTCAGTATATATCCTCTTCACAGTGTCACAAACCAAATGCTGCATCTATTAGCTGCATGTGGTTTTCCTAGGCAATTTTATGTTTAGTAGTTTGTGACTGCTTTCTAAAATCTATGGCACTCAAACTTTTCACTAAATCAATGCAAAGCTGTATACTACCAAACTGCCTGCAGGTAACTTCGAACCCTGGTATGTTGAGATGGTATGTGCTGTTCATCTATCAGAAGTGATGAAGACAACTTAGCATCCAAAAGTAATCAAAGAGAATGATTATGAATATGAAGATGACTGTTAACCCTTTTGTGCCATTAATGCTACAAATAAATGGATCACAAACCCATGGGAAATTCAGGAAAAAATACTTTCAAAAAAATATTTAAAAAACAAACATATTAAGCAGGTCGCTAATAAATGATCTATTTGTTACACTTATTTATCTAAACAGAAAAGTTGAGACAACTGGAAATACTGAGTTGGTATAAAAAGTACAAAAACAAACAAAATGTTCAACATAAATTACCAAATAAATGTTTGGATCTGGTAATCTGGTAATTTTTAATTTCAGCTTCATAGCAAATGGGTCACCCCATCTTTGCTCCGCTCCTGTGCCAACGAAAAACACACAGAATGTTTATCACAGTCCCTTGGGGAAAGACAAACTACTGTGTCAGCAAATCTAGCATACACTCGCATTAAAAGCATATGGTAGCCATCCGAAGTGCTAACACAAACAGTCTGACGTTAGAAATGCAGTTCATCATCATTGATGGTAGCAGAAGTCACCAAAAGATCAGCAGTTGCACACGCTGATCAATTTTAATCAAATAATGGCCCCACCAATATTGCGACAACCGGCATCGCTCCATTTTGATGTGAGTGATTAACTGATTAGACATGGTAGATGGAAGTAGCTGGACTCGATAATGTGGCTATACACTCGAAAAATTACACAAAGTATTTTACCAGCCCACACGTAAACTGGCTACTGGCCATATTGAATAATAAGACTCGGCCGCTGCACCAATCAAAAGCATGGCACATGAAAAAGCACAGCTCACAGTGCTGCAATAAGCACTAAGCCCAGTGCACAGGTAACGGAGCCGTAGACTTCCGTCCATTTTGATGCATTTGTTCCCCCATGCCATGAGAATGGGCAACTAAATTTAGGAAGGTACTACTTGGAGACCTGGGGAGAATCATCATCTCTGGTACTCACTTTATACTTACTTGTATTTGTTCTGTAGTTATCTTTGGTTATGATTGATTGCATACAGAATGTTGTATATGAGAGCTGATGAGATATTGCTGGTAAATTCTTTTATTGCTTTAACCTATTTTCACAGAAGTGATCAATGACTTGTGTTTTATTGAAAGAAACTGTTGAATGAATATCTTTTACACAAAGCTACATGCAGCTATATGCTTTTTTGTGAGAAAGAAAGTTGTTGACGGACTCCGTTGTTAATGTTTGAAGAGTTACCCGGTGAGAGGTCTGTCTCTTCAATGAGAGGTTGCCAATGGTGTGGAACAATCCATGAGCTTTGATAGTAATGGTTTCGACATTTGTGGCTGAGTGGTCTCGAGGCATGGCTTCTGCCTCAAATGTTCGAGGTCCCTGGTTCAAGCCCCGATGAAGGCTGTGATTTTTATCACGTGGACTGCTATTTCACCTTATTTATAGGAGTGAGTGAGAGAGAGAAAGAGATTGTGTGTGTCTGTGTGTGTATGCGCGGGCGCGTGTGTGTGTCTGTGATGAGTACCTGCCCGTTTGCTTTCTAGGAGGGGGATCCCTGCTTCTATCTGCATGGCAATTTCTAGAACTGTTATTCTCTGAAATTATTTAGGAGATAATTTTGTGGCTTTCTCTTGCCACCGCATCAGCATGGGTTAAAAACATCAACTTCTGACTGTCAAACAGACGAATTTAAAGTCCTGTTCATTTTTAATTATCCTAACGGAACTGCGGATTAATTAATTTATGGTCCGATCTGCGCTGCAGTAAAAGCATGAGGCATGAACATTCAGTAAAGATGCATGCCAGATAGGTATTGATTGGCCAGCAACTTCAAACTTTTGGCGGGATGTTCATTTCTGGCATACTGAGCACCAACGAGTGCATTATAACTGTTGATATTGATTCATTCAAATTAAAACCACTATTTACGGACAACTCTCTCTCTCTCTCTCTCTCTCTCTCTCTCTCTCTCTCTCTCTCTCTCTCTCTCTCTCTCTCTCTCTCTCTCTCTCTCTCTCTCACTCTTTTATTTTCGTTATTACTCTCTCTCTCTCTCTCTCTCTCTCTCTCTCTGTAACGATATTCATACGGCCAGGGGTGCTGAATCTTTGGTGCGCATGCACCTCGAGCCTTCCACCACCTCCAAATTTGTTTAGGTGGGAATGGGCTGAGCCTCAATATTATTTTTTTAGGGGGGGGGGGGGGGGGGGGGGTTGCGCTGCGGCCCTTGGTAAATTTGCAAAGGGCTGAGTTGTCCCCAAACACATATAAGACAGTCAGTATAATCCAGACATAGTCTTATTCCAACTTTCTTCTCTAATGCTGGTATTGTATTCGTAACCCTGTCTCGTATAGTGTTGTTAGTGACCTTGCGGAGACAGCACATTTCCCATGTAGTTCATTCAATGTGTCTTTAGTAGTTGCCACATGAAAAATGCATGATCTCAAGATTTTTACTATAGCTAATTCACAGGTGTTTGGCTATAGGTTCTTCATGCTGTTTTATCTCTGCATCTCCCCTGGTGGTGGTGGTCGTGGTGGTGGTGGTGGTAGTAGTAATAATGTGCGAAATGGCATATAAATATAAAAATGAATTTAAAATGTGCCTATCTGCTTTTAATAATTATTTTTGTGATGCTTATTGGACACCTAAACCCCTTAAGCTGCCAACCACCTAGGAAATTATAACGAGGCTAAGCTAATGATTTATTTGTTGCAGCAACCCTGAGCTCAGTCCATTGGTTGATCCTCTTATATAGGGGTAATGCCACTAGCTTATCCTGTTTGTTGTTAGTTATGAACCAGGTCATGGCTGTGAGAACCCAGAATGGCTGAAGTCTCACAAATTCATTAATGCATCCTTGCTCAGCGACCCGATAAGCATGCTACCAAAAAAATCAAGGCGGGGCATATACGGAAATAATGGATTCATCTGATAAGCAGTGATTCGCAATATATAGATAGTCGTATAGGTAGACACACCGTGCTGCCTGTTCCCTGAAGATTGTAGAAAATCGGTATTCAACTCTGGTGGAAAGTTTTTCTTGTTTAACCACTTCTGGACTTTAGTCTTGTTCCAAAACTTGAGTTTTGAATGCACATCGGTTTTACATATCTGGCTCATCTGTATGCAGACGTCGAGGGAAACATCATTAGTTAGTAAACTTTTACAACATGATTTACTGAGGAAAGCAGAGGGCTTAGTGCACCTCCCCCTCCCCCACCCCTTTTTTCCCGTTTCCCCTTCTCCCGACATTAGGACACTGGAACCGATTGAGGGAGGCAAACCACTTGATAGCAGGTGCGCAACACATAGAAAACTTTTCGGGGTGATTCCCCCTCCCCAGCTGACATATATATATTTTTTTTTCAAGGCAAAGAAAGGCCTGTTGGGGGGGATGGGAGGGGGGGGGGGGGGTTGGCCGCAAAGGTTCTTAATCATAAAGCAAAAAAGTAATAATAATATTCATAAGCAGGGCTTTTTTAATAGGGAAAACAAGGTGCAGGTACTCCCCATAAAACGTCTAAAAATAGGGGTGAGGGGTTGCGTGGGCGGTAGTCGCTACTAGATGTCTATAATAGTAGTGTTGAAAAAAATGATACCTAAATTTAAAAAAATTGCGTATTATTTACTGTCAGAAAAGCAACCTTGATAGTAGTAGTACTAGTTGTGTTAGTAGTAGTACTAGTTGTGTTAGTAGTAGTAGTAGTAGTGGTAGTAGTGGAATTAGTGGTAGTAGTAGTAGTAGTAGTAGTAGTAGTAGTAGTAGTAGTAGTAGTAGTAGTAGTAGTAGTAGTAGTAGTAGTAGTAGTAGTAGTAGTAGTAGTAGTAGTAGTAGTAGTAGTAGTAGTAGTAATGTGCGAAATGGCATATAAATTTAATAATAAAAATGTGAAATAATATGAAATTATAAACACATACTTTACAAGATAATTCATATACCTGATTAGAGGTCGCTGCTTACCCTCTTTACAAAACTGTGATTGGGGTGGGAAGTGGAGGGATGAATCCCGCCTCCACCCCTTTCTCCCGTTTCTCTTTCTCACCATCCCAACCCACTTGACCGTACATAATAATGAACAACAATTTAAATAAAAAGGTTTTTAACAACATTTGACGCGATATTTTATGGTCGCTTCAAGAAGGGAAACTTTCCCTTCTTACTGTTTCCATTTCCTTCTTTCTTGATTTCTGCATGATTAATTTGCATGATATAATTTTTAAAGGAAAATTTGTTACAACATTGGTAATTTTATGCTTCATATTTTATTAAACGCAACATTGATACACGGCAGCTCGTGTGGTAAAGACGTACAATACAGGAACATAAGGCAACACCATGTACACAGACAGAGATTACAATCAGTAAAGGTCTAAGAAAACTATAAAGCTGAAGTAGAGTCAATGAAACTGTTTGAAAGACTATGCAAGGTTTCTGTTTACACACACTGATATCTATTTGGCGATTATCTTTGCTTACGCATGCGCGTTTAAAATACGCCGTGTCCTGTTACACAAGAATGGGAAACATTACACTCACAAATGTGCCCCCCTCATACCCCCCCCCTCTCTCTCTCTCTCTCTCTCTCTCTCTCTCTCTCTCTCTCTCTCTCTCTCTCTCTCTCTCTCTCTCTCTTTGTTTTCCATCCACGCACACGATCACATACGCACTCGTACACACTATACATCAACTCATTCGTGGGCGTGGTCATAAACACACACATGAACACTTTCCCCTAATAAACGTCACAAATATCCTCTCATTTAGTGGTGTCCCTTTGTTTCGTCCCCTGTAGGCGGCGCTAACAAGTTCTATAGAAAAGTAATGTTTGCCGTTCTATGTCCTATTAAATAACTATATAGGGAGACGGACGTTCATGAAAGAAACGAAAAGAGATTCTCTCTGGGTCGCAAGCTACAAGGCTGTCCTGGAATAAACAGGCGGTTGTGAAACTTGTTTCTGTTTATGATAGTTTTGACAAACCGGCTTTCTAACCGGAAAACTGCGGACTTGTTATTCTGGGTGACATTTATATTTGCGTTGATTTGAGTACTCCACTGTTGAGGACTTATACATCTGGGTAAGTGATATATTGCTCTTGTGTGTACATTAAAACTTGCTAGACTTTGTGGTTTTGTTTGCCTGTCTGTCTAGGGGCGCCGATACAAAGAAAATAATGGGGTGCTCAGCACCTTTACAAATTTTATAGAGTGGGCGCTCAAAAGGGGTCTAAGCCTTGTTTACGTGCTTAATACTACTAATACAAATCCGTCAGTCAGTCAATAAGGAATTGACATCACTGCGCTTGCGAATTTCCCACCCATGCTCAGTCTCCTTCTTCAGTAGCCAAGAAATCAACAAAGAGTTATTTGTTAACAGTACCAGCTGCAACATGATTAAAAGTCTGCCTATGCTCCCCCCTCAGTGTTGAATATCTTCCAGAACCTTTACATAACCACCCCTCCCCCGGGTTGAACAAAATATGTCAGTGTTTGGCTTCTCTGTCTTTTCTGTTGCACAGACCACAGGATCCCAGAGAGCCGTTACCATGTCTGCTTTATTATAAAGTAGCTCACCACTCAGAGGCTCAGACGCAGCCAATCTATCAGCCTGCTCACTACCCCGAAATAATAGTACTAATAAAAAAAATAAAAAAATATGTACGTCTTCAGTCCCAGTGTGTTTTGTCTATGTCGGCGCTCCTATTGTCTTATAATACAGACATACGTAGTTGGGTTAACGATATGCGTGTGGATATCAGTATAGAAAAAGAGTGAAGGACACAAGTCCCGTGCTCTCATAACATTTATTCTAAACCTTATTGTCTTGCATTTCGGCACTAGATGTGTGATATGGTCTGTAACTAGTCTCAGAGCCTAAAACTGGAGAGAAAGCAAAAGTGCTGCCATTGTCCACATATGGTTACCTGACTGGTGCACCTGTGCGCAAAAGACATCGCAAAAACTATTCTAGACATTCATAATGTGACATTTCGGATATACTTTCGCTACCACTAATTTTCCAACCTGGCCACACCTTTGACTGCACCATACTACTGATCTTACTATATCAGTGTTCCCCAGCGTGTTTACATCCACGACACCCCCCCCCCCCCACCTCACCCCCATAACAGTGGAAATCGTTTACCAGCCCAGAGATAAATGAATATCTAAGTGTTTTACCAGCCTTTCGTTATTTTTTCAAAGTAATGCACTTTCTACTGTCTATTTACTTTTCCGTTCTTAAAACAATCTTTTGCAACTTTTCCTCCCAGACGATACATTATCCTTTCTTATACTTTCAGCCATTTGTAATTTAAATAGTTGTAATTACGCCTTGCCCACGTTGTCT